TATATACATATGTATATGAATATGAATATATATATACATACATACATACATACGTACGTACGTACGTACGTACACACACACATGCATACATACATGCATATACATATATATATATACATATATATATATATATATTTGTGTGTGTGTGTGTCTGTGTATAAACGTTCTCTGATCCATAGCGTACTTCCAATACAAGCGTTCGAGTGGTTAACATACCATAAACTCGGGTTGAGAACCGAATTGGCCAAACCCAACGAGAAAATATATTTACTAGAATAACAAGCCAATGCACAGCGTACGCAAGGCCTCTGTTGTGTGGTCCCTATAGCGGTGGTAGGTAGCTTATATTGAAGACGTTCAACATATAGACTCGCATGCCTGTGGATGAGTAGGTATTTGCATCCAAGTACACAAAACGCCCTGGGATGATCATATCAACCAAACAATAGGCACACTAGAATAAACCACTGATTCTGGAACCGAATTTTGAAAATCACACTACAGGTTTGACACCATGAACTGCAGAACACAGGTGTGGATTCATCTGTGGATAATCGCAAACGCATCGCACTCTATAGCATGTAGCACTTTGGCACTGGCGAACGTAAACACAACTTACAGAGGGCCAATACGAACAAGAGAGTTCAATACATGTGATACAGAACCTTCATTAGGCAAGTATGCAAACAGTACGACCTATATTCAACTACACAGTCCAATAAGTAGAAGAACACAGATAGCATTTCCACTTAGCCGATGAAAGGATATCATGTACGAAATAGGGCACGGAATCAGCATCTGGAAGGAGATAGATTGCTACAACCATACATACAGAATAGCTATATTATACACACACACACATATATATATACATACATACATACATACACACACACACACGTACATACATACATACATACATACATACATATATGCATACATATATACACACGCATATATAGTATACGTACATATATATATATATTCTCTCATAAATGTACAGAAGACAATAGTGTTTGATGTTGATGCGCCCATCTAAAACCCAAATCTGTCGACTCCGACACCTTTGATACGACTGTGCCGATATTAGAGGCACCAGTATGACCATACAGACCTTCCCATTGGCTTAGAAACACAAACCATTGGTGTCATATAGGATAACCTTCCCACAAACATTCATATACACATTATGCTGCAATATACGACCACCTATACTTAAACATTTAAACATACCACTGAAATGTATAGGATATGCAATATACGACCACCTATAACTAAACATTTAAACACAACACTGAAGTGTATAGGATAACTACAAGGCACATACCGTTGTCAGCGATCATCAGATTCATGCCGCTCTCATGTTTCCCAAAGCCAGACGCACTGCATAATGAGTGCAGGTGATTTAACATCAAGTATGGGATAAACCAGCACCAACTTCACTGTCGTTTTAAGAGTGGTACTATTCCGATCACAGCGTAAACCGGCAATACACATTCTGATACACACAGTGATGTAATGTTCATTCTACTTCTTCTCGGGAGTTCTCAAACTTAACTTGCAGCGAGATCAACTCTCGGTATACAAAAGGACTGTGCATACAATACGCAATCTGTTGTGCGTGCCGTGATGTAGATCTCCAACATAGTGTACGCCTTTGCGTACTTCTACATAATGATTTGGTAAGTAGGTATACATGTATTCAGGAGGCTTGTGGATGCGATATGCCGTCTGAAGTGGGTAGGGTATTCATGTACATGCAAACACACACAGATTTTATACAGATTCTATTATATACTATCCTATACTGAATCAGCGTCTCCATTTAGTGCACAAGACGGCCGTAAACCGCTATCTCAGATGCGACCCGTTGACTTGTCGGACCATTCACAGTAAAGTCCATCGTTCATAGTAAAGTCCATTGGATCACCGAATAAGAAACACTTGTCAAGCCACTCGACTACTATGTCTTTACAAGTTCTGCATCAACACGTAATACATGCACGTACACACACACACACACACACACACACACACACATATATATATATGTATATATCCAATCAATACGTCAATGACTTAGATACTAATACGCGCTTCGATTAACATTATCTTCTCCCGTACAACAAGTAGCAAGCTCCTTTGTCGAGCCCCCTATCACCCGCTTGCACCAACAGTACATACATCTGACACACAACAGTACATCCATTGACATACAACAATACATCTACTGACACACAACAATACATCTACCGAAATACAACAAAACATCTACGGACATACAACAATACATCTACGGACATACAACAATACATCTACCGACATACAACAATACATCTACCGACATACAACAATACATTTACACACACACACACACCTCGTCTTTAGTTGTGCAGTGGCTTGCACTTTTATCGTCTCAGACGGCACTACTGAGGATCGGTTTGCCGCCACTACGCCGTTACCGTTCAGAGAAATCGGTGGTGCAGGACTCAATGTGGCTGGAGGCAAGGGACTTCTGTTCACGCGGTCGCCTAGTTGCAGTGATTGTAAGCTGTAGAAAAAGAGCAGGTGTTGGGGCGTGGCTTAGAGATGCACTACGGTGGCTGTAACTGAAACGATGTACAAGTACACACCACACAGACACTGGAAGATTGGCGGTAGCGTGTTGGTCGAGACTAGAGGCATGGGACTTCTGGTCACACGTTTCCAGGCTAAGGGGTTTTAGGGTTTTAGGGTGGCGGTGCTTAACCACCGAATGAACAGAAAACAACGGAGCGAAGTGGCTTAACTAGTGCGCGCAGTGGGGACTGTAATCGAAAAGTACCGAACTGATTTAACAGGTAGCACCACAGCCTGATGACCGTTCTACACGGAGGCTCTCCCTTCGGGTAACAGAATCTGATGGCACGAGCCACTCGTGTACAACTATACATGCACAAGGAAACTAACTACACATGCACAGGGACTCCTGACTGGCTGGAGTCGCAGTCAGTGCGTGTACGCGTTTCTTAGCGTACACTGTGTGGTAGGAGGATTGCCCCAGGTATCGTCCCCGAAACTTATTGGGAGTACAGGGCATGCCTTTGACATCACATAGGATGGTGTACGGTCTTATGGTGACTTGTATGTATGCCTGTAACGGCTGGAGTGGCAGTCAGTGCGTGTACGCGTTTCTTAGTTGGTAGCTCATTGGTATCGTCTGTACCGGACGGAGCAGCAAACGATCACTATCGACCCAATACATGCAGTGGCATATAATACTGGATTAGCGGTGTGAGGTTAGTGCTAATGGGATGTCTGCCCACAGTCCAACTGGGGATCGGTGCGGTGTCTGTGTGCTATATACGGTAGAGGCATGCTATATACATGTGGCATGGTCACTACACCCCGCGTGTGTGATTGAGCCATGCCAAAGTGTATCTCTAGATAAGCAGAGCGGATATCAAGATGCGGTGGACATGCATGGGAACGACTCCGTCGCAGTGAAGTGTGTGTAGGCTAGGTGGTTCTATAGTGGGATACTGAGGTGATCGACCAATTTGTTCCAATAAAAACAGCATACGTATACGCCCTCACTATACATGCTGGGTAAACTCTATATATACCTTTTATATATATACATATATGTACAAATACAGATACATATACATATATATATACACATATGTACAAATAACATATACACGTACATATATATATATATATATATATATATATACATATATGTACAAATACATATACATATATATAT